AATTCCTTATGGTTCTCTATCCCAAATCATATCTTTGAAAAATGTGGTGGCCTACACTTTTTTGCTAACTTGTGATTTTAAGTGTTCTAAAATTCCTATTAAGATGTCAACTTTTCATAAACAAGCCTTGAATACATGGAAACTGATTTATAAGCATAACTTTTCCCCCCACTCATGTATTATCTGGAACAATCAGTATATTTTATTTAAAAACAAGTCCATATTTTGGAATGATTATGTTAAAAAAGGAGTAATTTTTGTTAAAGACTTATTAAATCGTGTAGGGGATTTATATGATTACAATGAATTTATTAATAATTTTGGTTTAAAAATTACTTTGATTGAATACAAAAAATTTGTTCATTGTATTTCCCCAAAATTACTTCACCTTATTAAAACCGCAAAAATATATAACCATGTATCTGGCTCTCACCCAGAGCTTACTATTAAGGGCCTTTCTATCAAAGATAAAAAATGTAATAACAATTATATCAGGAATATCCTAACTGCAGATAAAAGTGTTCCTCCAATTGCAATGGTTAAATGGAAACAAGCATTCCCTTCATTCTTCTTTTCCCCAAAAATCTGGTCAGATATTACAAAATACATAATTCCTAATAAAGTAAAAGAAACAATTTTTAAAATATTACATAGATATTATCCATGCAATGATTTTATAAGTAAGTTTAAGGAAGGTTTTTCACCCTTGTGTTGTTTTTGTAAAAAGGAACCGGAAACAATTCTTCATTTATTTTTCAGTTGCAGTTACACAAAACAGTTTTGGTCCCAAGTTTCCTTACTACTTTTTGAAGTGTTTTATAAATTAATCAGTATAACTGAGCAAATGGTTTTTTTTACGGATTGCAACTCTGGATTACTGGAAATGGACAAAATAGCAAAAATTCTTATTTTATTTGGAAAGTATCACATCCACAAAACAAAATGTATGCTGACTGTACCAAATTGTAAACTATTTTTCATTGATCTAAAACTTTTTTATGATTCCCTCACTGCTATACAAAGTAATACCAAAGCTATTAAGACATCTCAACTACTGGAAAAAATACTTAATGTACACGATTAATTTTTGTTGTTAATTCCATTGTATACTGTTTTATGTATAACTCTGTACATCCCTGTTTGTTCAATAAAAAAAAAAAAGACCAAAAGGAACTGCTCTACTCTCTCTACTCTAGATGGCGATGATCACACCTAAAACCCGAATCTTCTCATCCCGTGAAGAAGAGATAGCGGTTCTGCTTTGTTTACTTTAAAGATGGATGCTCAGTTACACCTATTTTCTGAATTAACGGGATAATCTGCTTTAAAATTAACGTTAACCCTTAGAATGTAAGATAGCAAATACCCAGAATGGAGGAATCGTGGGATTTCGAGTTCTTGTCTCGCATGGTTGACAGTCTGGTCTCCTTTCTGTCCGAGTTTGTGGATGACTGGCTGGCAAACGACATGAGAGTTGCCGTGTTTAAAATACTCTTTAGCTGGCTTGTCGTCAGTCTCGTAGCCATCCATTTTGCCTGGAAAGTGTACGGGAATACGGTCAACGACATGTACTACAGGCAGGGTAAATGTCTGCTCTTTTATGGCGCTCCACATAATCAATGATAATGATTCCCATTACAGTTAATGGACTTTAAGTGGTAGGAATAAGACTGAATATGCTTTTGATTATGTCTTAGGGACTGGAGGACAGAATGGCGGGACTCCTGACACTCACCTGAGCGGATGGTAGGTGGCCTTTCTTGTGTACGTGACCAAATCGTTCAGGGTTGCCAGGTGTGTTTACCTGAAGACCAGAAATAGCCCAAAAAAGCGCAATTAAAGCTCAGCATATACCACTTCTACTAAAATAACACAGTGTAAAGTGACTGTTATGCGTTTTAAAGAGTTTTGACTTGAAAAACCTCGGTTTAATGCTAATTCTCCCCAACATCGCAAAACTAATAATCTAAGCTCAGTTTAATATTAATAAAACAGTTCAGCATCTTGGTCAATTAGAATTTTTGGGGACATTTTAAAATGTTTATTGTAAAAAAGCAAAACGCTTAATGTACAAACACATCAACCAGTGAAACACAAATTTTTGTCAAAATTTCTTGTAATTAACCCTAACTACACTATTGTCAAAAGTGCAGACCCTAATTCTATAGATGAAATCAACAATATCACGTTAAACATTTTCTCCCCCATTGAAGTCCATAATAATAAGTAAAGTCTTAACGTAACTTTACAACAACCAAGGGAAAACAAATGTTAAAAAGGCTGTTCATAAAATCAAACTTTATTTATTACAGATTAACCCTTGCTGTCAAAATGATGTGCTTGTGCATGTCATTGACATCCCACAACAACATAGGGGAAAATGCTTTAAATGTGAAAACAGGGCTCATTCTTTTGCTAGTAGTGCAAATCACAAATATGATAGAAATTTGATTTTCCCCACTTGTTAAGTTTTTTTTTCTTCCTTATAATAGACTTCAAT